TATATATGTGTGTGTATGTATGTATATATATATATATATATATATATATAACATTTTCCCCATAGTTATTCTCTGCCTATATGGTCATGTAATGTAAATGCTTTGAACCCATTATTTAGGTAATGGCATATGGCAAACGAAGGAATGTGAATAGAGAAGCGCTCAACGGTTTCCGGAGCAGAAAAGTCAAACCGGGTAACCCCATAGTTATTCTCTGCCTATATGGTCATGTAATGTAAATGCTTTGAACCCATTATTTAGGTAATGGCATATGACAAACGAAGGAATGTGAATAGAGAAGCGCTCAACGCTTTCCGGAGCAGAAAAGTCAAACCGGGTAAAGTGTGGTTCAATGTCGACGACCTTTTTATCAAGATGCCACAGGTGGATGGCAAACGACTTATAGAAAAAGGTGTATGGTGTTGAAGGTTATAACTCATGAGTGGTGTTGAAGGTTATAACTCATGAGTGATATTATAAATTATTTATAGAAGAATGTGTGTAGTTTGCAGAGTTATATCGCTTTTGTGTTGTTAGAGATTCTGCATAGAAAAAGGGGTGTGGTGTTAAGGGTTGTTGCTCAATGTTCAGAATGCGGAGTGAAATATTTGTATACGTGGCACTGCTTGGAATCTATGGCGTAATTATACACGTGGGGGTTTTTATGATTACGTACCTTTGTAGGCGACTTCTTCTTCTAGTCTGAACCTGTACCTTTGCATGAAGTTTTCACTATATGCGAATTTGGTTCGATGACATATCAAAGACTCAACATGCATCCTATTTGGTTTGGTGTACATCGGATTAGATCAAACGGTGTTAACGGACGAAATGGCGGTGCTGCGAACGAATATGAAGAATAAGACGATGGAACTACAGAAATTAGAAGGGTCTGAGGTATCTTCGTTGGGATTAGAACCCATGACGAAGAATGATACAGCTGCCCCCGAAACTAAACCACAAAGGAAAAGATAAAAAAGCCTAAGAACTGTTATTTCAGCCTGCATAATAATTAAATTTAGATCTTATTCAAGAGACCGAAAACAGATCTCTTGATCGCAATTGCTTTTTCTGCTGACTGTCTTACATTTGGTGCGAATATGGCGTTTGATACAATTATTAGCCATGGCCCTCAAGCTAGAGAAAGTCTCGGATGGAAGCTTAACAAATTACCCTTGGGGGTGGTGGGGTTCGTGAATTCCTACAAATACTTTGTCTAGGACACCATGAGTTACTTATCTACATTTGAATCATATTCACTGTGCGTGTCTCCTAGGAGAACATACGTATAATAATCTTTGAAGTTACATTTCGAATTGTGGCGGGTACTAATCCTGACAAACTCGGATTTTCTTACTTGCACGTACTTTCAGAATGCATGATCAACACCAAAATCGCACGTGCCAAAACTAGCAGCTAAAACTACTTATCGCAATGCTTTATTTCAACAAACTGAATCCAACTGTATTTCCGTTTATCTCGGGAAGATAACCTCCTGAGAGAGCCAAATGGGCTGAACGAACGTACAGTTGTGCCTATGGCACACATTTTATCTGTGCTGTGCGGAGCTCACTTCCAGACAATCGAGTCTATTTCACTTCATTAGTAGTAAATTTGGTTTAACGTACTATTTATCGATATGCCACCACATTCTTCCGAAACCCCGACACCGCATATAGTTTTATTCTTGCCAACTGTTTCTTCATGCTCCGATTTTTTTTTGCACCAGGCTGATGAGTACAACTGCACACCATATTCTCTTGTATTTACCTCCCTGGTAATCACCTATAAGCGGCGTCCATCAGACTATTCTTCCTCAGTAGTGCAATAAGGTGATCGTGCTCATCACGCTCGGCACACCAGGCCATGTACTCTGAGCTGTTCAAGAAGGCAGGCAAAGAATTACGCGTCACCAGAATAGAAACCTCCATGAAAGCATCGTCGAACAGGGCTTTCGAATCATAGTAATCTCCAGTATTGAGCTTTTTGAGCGTCTTTTCTCGGACAGGGGCAGTGATATTCACTTCTTGTGGGCTGTCAGCTACAATAAACTCATCTACAATAGCCCTCACTACGGATGCATCATCTCTATTGTTGTTACAATCCAGCACACTGCGCAAGAACAATATATTCTCTTCGGCGTGCATCTTCTTTACTTGAGCAAGGAAAAGATCCGCCTGTGACAGAATGAAATTGGGGAACACGGTATAAGCATATGAATACCTAGATCGGCTTGCTATATAATTGATAACCTAGATCGGCTTGCTATATAATTGATAACCTAGATCGGCTTGCTATATAATTGATAACCTAGATCGGCTTGCTATGCAATTTTGGAACTAACACACCACACACTTTTAAAGTTCCAAATAAAATCGCAGAGGAAAAATCAAAAGATCGTCACTTACCGTTTCTGGAATCCTTAGAAGATTGACGACACCTTTCCTGTTCTCACCCTCGCGGAAATGCTCACCCTCAAGATCGAGCCCACGAAGTGAACTACCCTTTGTGATTTTACGGCCAAGCACTCGAACAATAATGAACCCGAAGTTCTCTATTCCGATCACCCAAAGCTTAAACCATGTCTCAAAGAACCACAGATACCAGATATCTGCAGGATTGTCTGACACGATCCCATAGGCAATGGCTGCCCAGGTACCCACGAAAAAGATCATATACATGCGGACATTGCCGACGAAATCAATGAAGTAATCCTTAGCTCCCCAAGCGGACCAAACCAGGTAGAAATAGTGCACGTTGTGAATTGCTACAAACACAATAGTACCAGAGAACTTCTCTGTAGCCGTGCAAGGTGTGGTGGGGTCGACGGCGTATTCACAGATGGCCATAGACATGAACGCCGTTAGAAAGTACAGTACGAGGTAAATGATCGGTACACCCCAGTACGAAGCGAACCGATTCCTGTGGACATACAACTCGTTGATGTACCGCATGCGCGCGACCACCGGCACGATCATATTCAACGCAAAGAAATTGACAAGTGTAATTAACCAAAAACCTACAAGTGACAGCCACGTATCGTTCATCCCCGTAGCAGTGATAGCTTTGATGCTGGTGATTTGCATGATGATACTTGCACTGATAAGTACACTCACCTCTAAACAGAGGGCACACGCACAGTAGTTGATTATGAAACCGTGGTGTCGAGATCGAACTTCGGGTTCTTTCCAAAAAAAGGCAAAGAAGGCGATCAGTGCTAGAAGGGCAAAAATGGTCGGGACAATTACGCTGACTACTATGATATAGACATCACGTCCGTTCATGATAATTTCCATGAGGTCGTTAGCCTGTTGCTTTACCAGGAAGAAGAAGCAAACGGCCAAGCCAAATATCAGCGGATAGACCAGTATGGACAGCGCCCAGGAATATATATTACTGGTCCGCCTAATCTGAGCGGCGCGCTTGTTGTACTGGACATTGAGATCCTCGGTGCTATCTTCTTCAACCTTATCCATACTTAATATGGTGGATCCGACAGCATTTTGCCCTGCCAACTGTGATAATGACAGTAGATAAATACATAAGCAATCCACGATGCTCGTTAACTCATATGAAACTGCCACAAGATGCGCATATGCACATCACCGCAATCACAATTTCTCACCACCACGTACACACGATAAGCATTCTAACGCAGTCGATATCAGTGAATAAAGCAATTCAAGTACACACCAGTTCTCTATTTAATTCAGCAGTTGTTTCCTTTCTGGATGGCTTCTTCGACACTTCCGACATGTTCTCCTGCAGAGGAACTGCACTCATAGCCGTAACATTATCGCTGCTTACAAATAAGTCCGCCATACTCTTTATTTTTCAATCCAATAATCAATACGTTCAATTTAATCAAATGGCAGCGGGATTGTGCGCAACGACACATGAATCACAGAAGCTATATACTGCTGCGTTTTTTAATTAATTTATTTTAAATATGTTCTGTGGGGAATGATTTTTCAACAAACCGAAACAAAAAAAGATTCAGGTGAACGAAGAGGGGGAAACTCTGGATTACATAATCGGAACATGCGAGTTGTTTGAAAAAAATACAAATATGTAATAGAATTTTATTTTAAAAATATATAAACAAAAGATTAAAAAAAGAGATAAAAAGTACAGCATAAATATTTACATTGTTCTCTTAATTTAAAGAAATGAGTTGCTTGAAAAAAAATACAAATATGTAATAGAATTTTATTTTAAAAATATATAAACAAAAGATTAAAAAAAGAGATAAAAAGTACAGCATAAATATTTACATTATTCCCTTAATTTAAAAAAATAAAAATTAATAATAGATACTTATATTTATTTAAACAAAATTACATCATTAGCCTTCTTTTTTTCACGTTAAAAAATATTTAAGTCCTAAAAGAAGAAATACAATATTTACACAGTGTTTTCCATTTTGAACAAAAAACAAAAAATTTACACAGCACACACAACTCACAACAACAACTTTTCTTGTTTTTTGTTTTTAAAAATAAAATAGAAATATCTACCGCCACAACTCACTGTGAAGTACTCACAACTCACAAAAGCCACAACTTGAAGACTGAAACTCTGAAACTTGAAAGTGAAGTGAGTGAAGTGATAAATAAGTTTTAAAACTCCAAGACAGAAAACAGGACGCAAGTAGAACTAGAGTAGACGAGAGAGAGAAGGGGGTCTAAAAGAAGTCTACAACTCCAGTCTCCACATTCACATTTCGCAATGGCACAATCCTTTACATTCTCAAATGAAATCACTACTATAGTACTAAGGCCTAAGCGTACAATGAGCAAAAGGTTATCGACAAGAAAAATACCACTCATATTTTTATAAATATAGTGGTTTAATTGGTCATGATCTTTAAAAAAATTACAGGAATATTTTTTCGCGCGAAAAAAAAATCTCTATACAAAAATAAACAAACGCAGCATCAGGCCCCGCAGGCCCGCTCTATTTTAAAAAACAAGCAGCGCAGAACCGCCGACAAACTGCGCCACAGCAGCCTCATTCAGTCTCTCTCCCTCTTATTACCGGGTCACCAATGAAGGTCCTAACACCACTCTTACATAGGGAGTAAGGGGGAGTTCATTGTTCACACTATAAATATACGCACAGAATACAACAAGAACACAAGAGAGTCGCACTCACACACACACACACACACTCACAGTCTCACACACACACACTCACAGTCTCACACACACTCACACACATGGCCAGTCCGACTTAAAAGAAGCGACGAGTACAAATCTGAAATCACAACAAGAAAGTGAAACCCGCCACGCACAACAGCCAACAGGTTACCACTCACCAGCTCTACTACTAGAGTCAGCTACCACAACAACGTAGCATGCGAGTATGTAAATATTTTATATTTACAAATCGCAACACGATTCACAATTTCAGTATTTCACAGGTCACAACTCACAACAAACATGTTTATTACTACTTTTTTAGCATTGTTATTTCTACAAATTTTAATAAAAATTGACACAATTGACAAACCCCCAGCGGCCCAGCGGGCTCCCGTCCCATGTTAATAAATACACGTCTGAGTCTGTCCTACTTTTAACTAAAAAATCGCGTATGAACCGGGACAAAATGACCGAAATCTTGAGGCAGTGACTTTTTCATCAATTGCGCTATTGGGTCAAACCCTATTTTATCATGCTCATCGGAATAAGCCGGAAAATGTGACCAATTCGTTCGTTTGAACCAACCCCGTAGCAACAATATTTCGCAAGTTAGCTGTATACTGTGAAGATCTCACATACACAACACAGAAAACATGCTAACAGCACATGTAATGGTGCTGTAAGACTGTTCTTAGGCTTGAGAAATCTTTTAACCACATCAATAAAGACGTACAATGAAGTATAGACCTGTACACTTCGGATTATGGGCGACGTTGACGAAATCAGTCATTTAATGGTCATTAGATTGTTATAAGATCAGATTCAGATGCTCGATCTTTTACAGTGTTACTCTTATAAGTGACTTCTTAGACTTAGTTTTGCAGTACGAAAGTTTTGCCTTGATCCTACCATCCTTTGGAAAGTCTTCAGAAAGACTATTATCCCCTCGTACGTACAATGCCTTCAATGCAGGTATCAATTTCTGCCATTTGATCTCAGTATCAGCTTCTACCATATCCATTATATCTTGTTGATATATTTTGGGGAAACTCTCTGTCTTTGTACGTGCTCTTTTTCCAGCAGGCGGCACATATACTTCGCCTCTATCCGTAGCTTCAGCCTCGGCTAATCTCTGCTGCTTTTCCATTTCGACTTCTTTTTTGCGCCTACTTTCAAGACTCTTCCTCGCTTGTGTCACCGTTGATATTTGTGTTCGTATAAGCATTTCTCCTGGAAGCGAATACCGCCCAGGATACATCAGCTTGAGCTGGGCAAGCATTGATCCAGGTTGCACCTTTAAAGAATAATCACTCTCGCCTTATGTCCCGGTTCATACGCGATTTTTAGTTTAGAAATACATCTGAAGAGAATGAGTCTTGTTTTCCTTTTTTTTTAAACAAAAGACTCCTCGTTGAGGGTCACTTCACACTCTTGAGACTTGAGACTTGAGAGTCTGTACTCTGAGTCTCTGTAGCCTCTCATTAGTCATTATGAGACTCACGAGATTCTATGCTCTTGTGTACAGAGACAATAGACTTTAGAGTAGAGAGCGTTCATTAATGATTAATTTATAAAAAATATGATCATTTTACTTTTCATGTGCGTACACATATTGTTTTTTTTATATTATAAAATAACATTTAAAAAAAAGACACCTGGTGACCTAGGGCCCTGGGCCTGGGCCAAGGGCAGTTAGGCTGGCAGCAGGGAGACACGTCGCCCGTTTGTGCACCTTTGAGCCTTAAGGCTTTGAGGCTTTGCTTTCGGCTTTCAAGTGCATTCAGCGCGCTCATAGAGTCATAGTCTAATAGAGGTTCATCTGGTCAATATACACAATCAAGATAAGGAATGGTTTTATCATTGGCTAATATCTAAAATGTATTAAATATAGTCCTGTGAATCTTCAATATTGTCAAAAGTCATAGCAAAAATATTTAAAAAAAACTCATAACAAAAGAAAGAGGAATTTAGCAACTATTTTGCTTGCGCTGATATTTTTTTTTGTCATATTTGTATTTTTGTGATTTAAATTGTAATCATTTTCTTGTGGTCTATTGTTAAAAAAAATGTCGAACAAATACTTTGTTTTATACTTTTTTTTTGTATCGGAGTTTCACAGACTGTCACAGTCTCTCAAGTGTCGATACACATTTGATTTACTCCGCAGTTTAAAAGATATAAAAAATGGAGTACATGTTATTTACATAGCAGGATAGCCAAAGCCCTCTAATTATACATTAGCAGCCTTTTCAAGTTTTCAGATTAAAAAAACAACTGGAAGTCTGGAACACGAAGATATTTTTTTCTATTAATTTTGTTAAAAACAATACATAAAATGCAACAAATAGAAAAAAATCAGTTGTTCACTTGTATTTTTATTTCTTTCAGAATTGATTTATACTAGTCCAAGGGCAGTTCGCACACTCGGCAGTGTCAGGCAGGTGTCGGAGTCTATCAAGCGAGTTACAAACTCGGCTATCTTTGCTTTGCGGTGCTGGATTACGGGGTACGAGTACTTCTTGGCGCCCCACACTTTGGGCGCGAATTCGAATCGGTATAAGATTGCTAGATTTTCCTAAGTGAGGAACAGACCATCGAGTTTAAGCACAAAATGGAAAGGACGATTCCGATTGGAGCAAATACATAGTATATATTACTTATTGTATAAACAAACATAAAATACAGTAGAAGGCTGAAATGAACTACGCTTCAGTGTGGCTTCCCTTGGAGAATTCGGACGATTACTCCAGGTATCTGTAGCGCAATGTACACATAATCTAGACACGTGGACACCAACCTAAAAACATCGAACTCGCGCGGTAAATAGTTGATATTTGTGAACGAGGGACGCTGGAAGGTTCCGCTGTGGTGCCTCAATAGGCGAGAAAAAAATACAGATTCAAGTACACCACAAACAAAACACGATCATTATCATACTTGTAGAGTGTTGCATGTATACCTTTTTTAAGGCGGTGTAAAAATTGTATATGTTGGAGAAGCGCTCTCGGAGCCTGTGTTTGTCACCATTAATGTGAAATGTTATGATATAGTAGGTCGGACTACCCATGGGCTGTTCGACGGCGCACTTGCACGTATTCTGGGTCTTCCCCGGTGCTCCTTCTTCGGATTCCTGTGGAATATATGGACACAGCTGAGGAGATTACGGAACAAATGGCACTGTTTGTATGTACGTGGATGTGAACATGTATACATGAGAAGTACCCACTATATACGTGGATATTCTAGTGTAGTATAGTGCACTTTCAGAACATTGTCTTACCCCACTGCTGCTTTCAATTAGCAGTCCTTCATCGTCGGTCATGAATGTTTGCGGCACTAGTTGTTGTGTGTGAGACTTGATCGGGCGGGGGGGATGCGTCGCAGCGTGGATCATGGTCGTGACGGTGGTGAATGTATTCTGCGGATAGAGGGAGATGTGTTTATTAAAACACGGAATCGGAAATCTACCTAGTCTAACTCAACCCTTACTCAGTGTACGTATCAGGAAATACATGGAGTTGACCATTTTGGAATTCTTATTCGCGCGAAGGAGTATACAGCATTAGTTGTTATGTGTGGGATGTGGCCGAACGGAGATAATATATATATATATATATATATATAATACCCATACGCACACCTGTAACTAAATATATATACATATATATACATAATATTAATGTACATATACATATATATATACGTATACAAACACAAACACACAACTATGCATATATAGATATATATATAATAGAAGATACAAATACTATATATATACATATAAATATATATTTATGTTTATATATATATATATATATATATATATCTATAAATATTAAAATATAAATATATATATACACATACATACACAAATACGTGCATCCACTACCACTACCTCAACCTCACCCACATACATATAGATATATATACATACATATAG